CCCAGCCAATAACATAACCACCAAAACACGCCCATCAACTAAGCCATGCCCACAGAACCGGTTGTTTAAAAAATTGAAACCCATCCCTGTCTGCAAGATACATTCTAGTTAAACTTCTATTATTTTTGGTTTGAAAAGCCCAAGATAACCTGGACACATGTTTGCTCAGACCTGAATCTTTAGTTCGCTTCTTTGGCTATCTAAAAGAAACCTTTGCAGATACTGCCTTTTAAAAGACTGTTAATAACATAGATCCTCAAAAGTAATTTTACCAGAGTTAGAAAGTGCCATCTAGAGGACATCTTGGCATAGTAATTTCCAGACAGGAATTTAATCTGAATGTTCATCTGCAATTATGCCACATTCAGATTTGTTAACTTACCAAATGTATCTCAACTAGCTCTAGTTCACAGAAGTAAAACCCCAAACATTTCAACAGCAAGTATCCTATTCTGCCACTAGAGGGGAAATAAAGAGAGCAGCAAATCTAGTAGTAATTTTTTTTACATAGTTTGGTTGTTTTCGACTTTAGAAAGTAACTTGTTTACTACATTCACACAGAATCAATACTCAATGACCAACACTCAATTACAATCAATTATAAAAATATTTGCCTGTCCTCCCTCATTTTTCTATTAAATCTATACATCCTGCTCACCTATAGTTCGATCCACGTGTGTACTAAATAAGATAAAAAAATTTGAACAAGCAAGAGAGGCACAACAAAACTAATCTCAATCACATTATACCCACATTATATATATAAACTAGGCCTTATGGGTTTGTTGTTCATCTGCCAAAAAAGTCTGAGATTTTTTTAAAGTTAGAAAAATGTTTGATTTTATCAATTTGCAACTGATAAAACTCCCTTTGCAATTTAGTTCCACATTCCAATTGAGTGTATCATTGATGCTGAAATGGCAAATTTGACTTCTTTGATAAGAGAAAAGACAACATGTTTATTGCTGATTAGAAACCCCTTATAGACTTTTTGCGAAAAACGCAACAAAATAATGAATTTAGGCAGGGGTGGGATTCTACCAGTTCGCACCTATTTGGTAGAACCGGTTGTTAGCATTCTAAGCAGTTCAGAGAACCGATTGTTAGAAGAAATTACTGGCCTAATCCTGTAAGGAAGGCAGGAAGGAAACATTCTGGTGTTGCTTACAGAAACTGCCTCTCTGTTAACCCTTATTACATTCTTGGCAGGACTAGACTTCCTGTCTCTGGAACTTCTCTGGAGTTTTTTTCCCCTCTTTTACTGGTACTTTGCTTGTGTGGAGTGACCATTCAGAGTTACAATGGCACTGAAAAAAGTGAGTTATGACACTTACGACTGTTGCAGCATCCCCACAGTCATGAGAGAGCAGGCGAGGAGGTGCGTGTCTCAATGTGAGTGATGTTGAATTGGCCATGCCCACCCATTCACATGACCACCAAGCCATGTCCACAGTCACATGATCACCAAGCCATGCCTACCAACTAAGCCACGCCCACATAACTGATTGTTAAAAAAAAATTAATCCCACCCCTGTGAAATGTTAATGAATGGAATTGGTATTGTTGAATGGTATTGTTAATGAATGGAATGTCTAGTAATATTTAAATTAAATAAAGAGATAAATGGAATAAAAGTGAAAGAAGGGAAAATAAGATGAAAATAGTAATTAAAAGTATTTTATTGAAATAAATTATGAGGATTATTGTAGAAGACTATATTAATTATGTTTAATGATCTACATAATATAATTGAAATGAATTGTGAAAGATCTGTAATGAAATCAATATCAGTTTCTAGGAGGAATCTGAATAGATTAACTATGTTACCTATTGTATTTTCTTCTTTCTTCTTTTTGAAATCTAAACGGTATTGGGGGGAATTTAAAGGGAAAGTACCAAGCAGAATCTGTTTGAAAAGAGATATATGATATAAAATAGTTATTAGAAGTTGAATGCTATAATTGATCAAGGGGATACTGTATAAATAAAATGTTTAATGGAATTTGAAAGGGTAATAATTATAAAATATAAAGGTGACATACTCTGTTGGGTAATTGTAGGGGAAACCTTGCTAATGCCCGGAAAGGGAGGGAATTTTTTTTCTTTCTCTTTTTGGGATGATGATGGGTAAAAAAGAATACACAATGAAATGGTAAACAGGACAGATAAAAGTATAAGTATAATTACTATGAAGATATGGAAATTTGGAAAAGGATATGTAATAAAATTAGAAATGAATGAGAAGTTGTAAAATAAAGTGGAGGAAAGTAAATGAAGAAAAAATTAATGAAATCTATAAAGTAGTGATAAGATATGAAATTGAATATAGAAAGATGAGTATGTAATTAAGATTACATCTGTATGGAGATGTGCCAACCTGGAAACATGCTGTTCTCTAAAAAAAATACGTTTTATTTTTTATCATGTTTTTTTTTTGAAAACCCAAATACTTAAAAAAAAAAAAGATATTTCTAGATCTTGAGCCTATATTCTAAAATGTTGGTTATTCCTCCTACCTTGGTATCATCTGCAAAATTGATGAGTTTCTCCTCTATGCCCTCATCTAAATTGTTTATGAAGATGTTGAAGAGTACTGGGCCTAATAATACATTTCTAATAAATTTCTCTCATTTCTAATGTCGAATATTTATTAGATACTTCTTCAGTTTTGCATACCTATAAAATATTAAATATTTTGTTACTCATGATGTGAAAGAAGTACAAATACAGATATAAATCTGTAAGGCTTTATTTACAGAATAAATATATTAAAGTCAAGTCAAATTCAAGAATTTTCTAGATATCTTCTTTGCTGACCAACACTCTAGAGATTTTTGACTAAGAGGTTAAGGGTGTGAATACAGCTAGTGATGCCTGCAAGAAACTGTGCAGGCAAATTTTTGTGATACATGATGATGTAATCACATAAACACCACAACCTATGTACCTGTTTATCAGATGCCTTGACAATTTACTACAGACACTACTGGCATAATTCTAATCTAGGATTGTCAAACCGCATCTACACAAAACATTAAATCATAAACCAGAATTTTGCAAATCAACCCACCTGGTTCTCACAATCTGAGGCCAAAATCAGTCAGGCTATATCACAGGTGTCAAACTCGATCATGTCATGTTGTGTCATCATGCTGTATCGTGATGTTTTTTGCCTTTGTGGAGCCAGGGTGGGCGTTGCCTGGGAGTGACACCTCTGGTCCATGGGCCATCATTTTTACAGGCTTGGACTATATTATGCTAGGATTGCACTAATTCTAGAGCTACGTAAAACATTTGAAGGGAGCATGTTGCATCATTCCTAGATGTATTAAAACAACTGTCCCTCTTGTATTGCAGCAAAGCAGCTGTACTAGCTTCATCCTTGTGTTTAATTACTTGCACTTCTATTTGATTTCACTGAAGAGCACAGCATTTTATTTTTATCCTTCCCTATCCTTATATGTATACTCAGCTGTATCTGAAAATAAGTGTTTTCATAAACATTCTAATTTGCATATGTTTTGATTAGGCTGTTATGAAGCACAGCAGGGATATTACATATTCTATCATAATGTCAAGGGTCTTAAGATTTCTAATAGCAGGTTTATTTCCAAATACAGAAAGTATGCAAGTGATTGTAAGACTTAACTTCCCTCTCTAACTTTGTTCCATGGCTTTGGATGTATTTATTGTTTTCAATATAGCTGAATACTGAATTGATTGAAAATACTATAAAATAAACATATACAACAGAAATACTTTCTAATGAGGTGTTGGGTTTTTTTTGTTTCTGACCAGATTAATTTATAAAGCAATGCACATAATTAATATGTAAAATAGATATTTATCTAGCAACATGTAAAAAAATATGGCTTCAAAGAAATAAAGAGGTTTATTGAAGAATGAAAATCTTGCAACTAGAGTTGATTAATTAAAATGGAGTGTCTAGCTCAGTGGTTCCGAAACTTTTTCAGTCCACCAACACCTTGGTGCTACAAACTCATCCTCGGTGCTCCCACTCAGGGATCGGATTCAAATTTCTGTGGGCGTGGCCTAATTTGAGGGTGTGGCTTGCTGGTATTGTGATTGGGTAGGCGTGGCTTGCTGGTCATGACTGGGTGGGTGTGGCTTGCTGGTCACGTGACTTGGTGGGTGTGGCTTGCTGGTCACATGACTGGCTGGGCATGGCTTGCTGGCTGGGCGTGGCTTGGTGGTCATGTGACTGGGTGGGCATGGCCAGGTGGCTGTCAAACCAAATACAAGTGGTCCTCACTTCATGGCCGGTTGCTTAGCAAGTGTTCTAATTTATGACTGGAGTCCCCAGAGCTACTTGACTTGTTTTTGGAGTTTTGACAGCCATGCACACACACACACACACACACTCCCTTCTAACCCTGCTGGAGCAGGTCATTGGACTAGAATCAGCAAAGCATCTCTGATTAGATTCTAGTACTGAATAGAATCTAATCAGAGATGCTTTGCTGATTCTTGTTGATTTATTTTATTTTATTTATTTATTTTATGTTGCTGAATTGCATTGACACGTGTGTCCCTTCTTGTGCACAGCCCAGGAGCTTTTGTGATTCTTTGCAGCAAAAATTACTGACCTCTGGCTTTGCTCTACTTTTCAAACCTGCCGCCACTGCCGCGTTCAAGGTGCTGGCCCCGCAAGTCCACCCCACTGAGCCTGCTGCACCGGAGGGACCTGCCCAAGCAAGTTCTAGCGGAGTAGTGCACCAAGTCAATGGGGTGAGCCTGAGAGAGGGAAAGAGAGAGAGAGAACTGGTAGAATCCCACCCCTGAATTACGCTCTGCGAGGGGCCCACCTCCAACACCCTCCTATCGGCCCCCTTGCCTCTTAGCATCCCACCGCCCCCCAGGGGGCAGTACTGCCCATTTTGGGAACCACTGGTCTAGCTAGACAAAAATTAAGGTTTAATGAGAGAAATGTTTTCAAAAAATATGTAAATACCTAATGGCAGATAAAAATAGTATTGCAATTATAAAAACTCTTTTGGCATTCATTTTTTTTCATACTCTGAGATGGTTCTTTTAAGATGATACCTCTTGCTTTTACTTGTGCAAATGTAATTGTTTATAAATGGGCAAATATATTCTACCTATGCAAATGCAATTGTTTAATTTTGTCTTTGGGGATTTTTAACTGCTTTGGCATCAGTATTATGGCAGAGTGTTCTAGGTCCTAGGAGGTGCAACCTTAACAAAATTGGAAGCCATCAGGTTGCCAAGAAAAAAAAGCAGCAATTTATCAACTAAAACTCATGTATTTATTAAATCTATAAGGAGTCCCAATTAAAATGTCTGATCATTATATCAATACATTTAAGCCAAGATAAATGTTTTTGTGTGTGTATGAATAAAATCTTTAAACATTTCTCAAAATTGAAACAAGTCAAACAAAGGTATGTAATTAATATAATTAATTAAAGTAATCTGATAAGCAGGATGAAAATAAATCTCCAGTGCAACTGGAATGGATTAAGAAATTTGATCCACAATACATCAAGCATACCACATCTTAGATAATAATAACAACTGAAAACTGCTTCAATTCATATTAGATTGTCAGTGCTAGGAAACTAGTAGTGCCACTGCAGTCTTTTTCTAAAGAAACTCTCAAGTATAAGAAAAGTAAATATAGTATTCAAATGGTTTACTATTAAGATATTGAATTTTGAAACAGCCACCCTTCAAAATTGATGAATTTTTTGCTGAAAAGTATCAAACGCATCTGATTGGATTTTCGTCTGACTTCTTGGATGAGGAAGGCCTTTGCGATATTTTGTCTCCACTGACTCTATCAAGGAAATTCTGAAGGATTATTTTTTCTGGAGAAAAATGGAAAGAAGGTTATTGCTTACACCTGAAGAGCCAGACAAAATAAATTCCATTAATTATTTCTAATTCAGAGTATGGATTGGTTGTTAAAGAGCTTTGCTGAGATATCCTACTAAAATAACTCTCTGTATTTAATCCATATTAATCTTTCTTAATGCAAATTACTAATACCACTCTATAAAGCCTTAGTAAGACCACACCTAGAGTACTGCATCCAGTTTTGTTCACCACATTATAAAACAGATGTTGAGACTCTAGAAAAAGTACAGAGAAGAGCAAGCAGGATGATTAGGGGACTGGAGGCTAAAACATACAATGAACGGTTGCAGGAACTGGGCTTGGCTAGTCTAGTAAACTGGGCTTGTCTTGTCTAGTAAAGAGAAGGACCAGGGGAGACATGATAACAGTCTTCCAATATTTGAAGGGGTCAAGCTATTTTCTAAAGCGGCTGTAGACCAGACATGGAATAATGGATAGAAACTGAACAAGGAGAGATTTAACCTGGAAATAAGGGGAAACTTTCTGACAGTTGAGAACAATCAACCAATGGAACAGCTTGCGCTCGGAAGTTGTGGGAGTGCCATCACTTGAGACTTTCAAGAAGAGATTGGACTGCCATTTGTCAGAAATAGTGTAGGGTCTCCTGCTTGGGTGGGGGGTTGGACTACATGACCTACAAGGTCCCTTCCAACTCTGATTATCTGTTTGTTATCTGTTTGTTACTGAGGAAGTGTTGACAAGAATTAATGATTAGAAAGGGATTAACATTTTTTTCTTGTTGTGGTATCTATACAAATTATTCCTCAAATCATGGTATTTGTCATAATGTCGGGTTATTAAAAGCAAATTTTTTCAGTTGGACAGTTTTCATTTAAACCAAAGTAGGAAAGGGTTAAAATTATTGTAAAATTGTATTGTCCTATTTATTATATTGCCCATTATTCCCTGCCTTCCCCCGACACACACTAGCTACCCAAATTTCTGTAATAATCTAAATAAGGTCTAGTGGAGAGCTATAATACAGTAATACTTTTTTTCATATTAATTCATTTTGTTTTCATATACACCTAAGGGCTTCTGATTGTTAGGCATGGAGTCATCCATACTTCCAAACAGGATTTCCACTTCTGCTTCTCTCTATCTGTTCAGTTGGTTATCAAGGTCTCCTCTAAAGTCAGATGATTCTACTGACTTACATGTATCAAGTGATCCAGATGCTAATATTGTTTTTCATTTTCACCAAATATCTCTAAGATCTTTGAGATGAGTTGATATGAACAAATAGAAGTTATTGCTCAAGTATATGAGGAGTTAATAATTCTGTGCCTGAAGATAGTTAAACCATTCCCAAACAACCCATGTGACATCCACAAAACTCAATCTCAAACATTTTTTTAAAAACCAATGGCTTTCGAAAACTTAATTTTGATGTCTTTATATGGAAATGGTGAACAGCTTTTAATATAAACACATTATCTTTTATAACGCTCTTAATATTCATTTGTTGGGTCATGGTGTCTGCCATATGAAAAGACTGTTGACCTACTTTGTATGTTTTAGGTTTATTTAGGTGGGCAACAGATCTACGTCTTAAAAGAAACTTTGCAAATGGAAGAATTAAAAAACTTATTATGTAGATAGAAAGGACGATCACAAAGTCTTATCATATTCAACATTATGAAGTCCTATACAAAATTCTCCCCACCTACCCCCACCCCACCCCAAATCATCTACCTGGCTTAGGCGCTCTTTCCACATATTCTTTAATTTCTTCTGGATCTACAGAATTCAGAACTGATAGGATATCAAGATAATCATTTCCAAAATCCTTCTGATAGGTGGACAGATGTTTGCTATGTTCGTGATTCCAGATCTGAGCAATTGTCATTGAGGGCACTGTGCAGGCAAAGCAATAACAATCATGTCAAACTAAAATTCAACACAACTGAGTGTTGTCCACATTTTTAAATCTTTCTGTTTTTCCATATCACAAAATCTTATGTCCTTCCTTCATAAGAAGTGGGATATTGTTGCCCATACGTTCTCTGTTCTCTTAAAATTATAGCCCTTGAATCTGTGGGAATCTAAATCTGTACTTGTCCACTGAGAAACTGAGCAGAGTGCTTAAAAGTGATACTGAGCAGATCCCTTAAGATTGATACTCTTAGAGTAATCCAAGGAGAAGATGCCTGGGAGCATGAGGAGCAACACGTGGACTGGTGATCTTCTGCCAGGAGAGTAGAAATACTTGCACCATGATGGTGACTAGCATTCTTTAGCTCAGAGCTGGAGCACATGTGCCTCTAACCGCAGCATTTATTCTTTTGAAATTTGGTGACAAATCTGATTACAACCTCATTTCTCTCTTTGTTTTTATTACAATAAGGGACAAAATGGCTCACACAGAGTCCATGGAATTTAATGGAGAAGTACCTAGATTATAGATGCTGAACATTGGCCTAAAATCTGACCCTTGTCCATTCTGGTGATGATCATTTTCCACTGCATTTGTGATCATTGGAAGCTGGAAAGAAAAATCTAACCGTGGAAGAAAAGCCACCTGCATAGTTAATTTATGGAACTCTATAGTTCAGCGGTAAAAAAACACTACTTACCAGCACCTTTGACCGGAACTTTACGTTTTGCATTACACCCGTATTTCCAAGTGAAATCCATTAATTCGGGTGCACGGACTTGTGTCTGATATTGGCGCCTGACTTCAGTATCTGGTGGCTTTGGGAGTAATGCTTTCCAATCTGGAGGGAGAACAACATCATCCCTTGGAGCACCTGAAAAGATTTAATAATAGAATTATTGTGAAAGGAATGGGAAAGGGGTATTAAGTGAAAAGCAAATAGCAGAACATTGTTTCATTTGTAGTCTTAGATATACTTGAGAGTAAATCCTATTAATCTCACCAGGGCTCAAATTGAAGGATAGTACCTTACCAAATACCCCACATGTAGTTCACCACAAATTCACCATATAAATGTTCAGTGCGTTACTTTCATCCAAAGAATTTTATTTTCCATGTTTTTCAAGGCTGGAGTTCTCTGTGTGGTTACTTTTTATAATCTCCTACTTAATCAGAATGTTTTCTGGGGATGTTTTCAGCTTTGAATTAAAAATTTTCATGTGTACTTCATTACGTATTCCAAGAGAAGGAAGGAAAATCACAATATTCACCTGGTTGTATTCCTAAATAATCTCTCGAGTATACTGTTTTGTACTGCTTCTTTAGTACCTCCTCCAAATCTTGTTTACTAAAAGGTTTTGTCCATGGTGAAAAGCTATCTATTGGTAGTGCTGTTTCTTCTCGAGGCAGTTGCCATATTAGGAAACGCTTAAAAAATAGAAAGAAAAAAATGATAAAGAACAAAAACTTTGATTTCTTTTAAAAGAATCCATCCAAACGTGCTTTCAATTATCTTTTTAAAGCAATTTAATTTTTTGTTATCTTTCTAAAAGATGTCTCTGATCATAAGTATTATTTATATCTTCCATACATCTGAACTGCTTGTTTTAAATTTTTATCAGCAAAAGGAAAAAAAGCCACCAAAGAACATGGTGGCTGGACACCATTAAGGCTGAGCAGCAGCAAGAGCATAGAGCAACTCAAAGAAGTAGTGCATTGTTTGGAAGCCATGGAGAGACCTGGCCCATAGAATCACCAGGAGTCAGATGCGATTGAAAGCATATCATCATCATCATCATCATCATCAATTGAACACATATGTATTAGAATAGCAATTTCAGACCATTGAAATTTTTTTAGGCACAGGATCTTGTTTCTAAAAAGCTTTCCTAGCTTCTTTCCTGCCCTACTTAATCTCTACAACTGCTCCTATCTCTTTGGGGGAAATTTTTCATACCCCGTGTATACCTGAATGCCATGAAACCACAAATACCATTTTGTACACCAGTAAAATAATTGGTGAACAATTGCCTGGGTACATATTCAGCATTATAGATAGTCCTTGAGCTCCATCAGCAATTGGGGCTGGAATTGCCCTCGCTAAGCGATGTGCCTGTTATCTATGTGTCAGATAAATACATCACTCAGCAATCCAGGCTGTCTCAGTTGATGTCATAATCCAAGATGTGTGGGTCATTAAGTAGATAGTGGAGGAATTGCCCAGAAAGGACTTGGGGGGGTGGGGGCAGGCCTAGAAGAGGCCACACACGAGTCATGGAAAGGGTGCCTGGTGTGATGTGAGCTCAGAAATGCCAGGAAATGAGGGATTAGGGTGGCATGCAATTGCAGAGAGGATGTGGAAAGAGAATGTGGGTTATGCATGTTTAGGTGTGCAATTGCAGGGAGACCAAGGAAAGACAGTGCAGGACGTAGAATTGTAGTGAGGCTGTGGAAAGAGGATGTAGAGTGCAGGCATATGTGTATGCAAG